TAGAAATCTATGAAATTTATGAAATCTATGAATTTCTCATGCACTAGTCTCGGAAACTTCAATCATAGACCACACCAGAGGAACTTAGCTGTCTAAATAGACAAGTTTCAGCCTGTTCCTTAGGTGCCTTTTTCTTCTCCTTAAAATCTTGATGTGGGCCTACTTGCTGCTCTCGCTTTCTGTTTCTGGAAATTTGTACGTTTGTACTGGTGAAGTTTGTCCTATAGCTGGAAACTTCTAAGGGGTGATCACAGCATATTCTAGTTAACATTAAGAAATGAGACACTGAAAGCATGCTCCTGGAGAAGGGCAGACTGATTTAATAGTTGCATTACTAAACTCCTGTCTTTCTACATGTATTTAATGTATGAATATAATGTATAATATGTTAATATGAACATATTTGGATATGATTTCATGTAGTTGGAAAATGCAAACATCAAATCTATGTTCTACAGTATATGGACAAAGAGTGTAGCAGAGGGGAAAAAAAAGATAGGATTTTTCTTTTTATCATGTTGAAATGTTAAATTTAAAAAAAAACAATTCAGCTGTAAATAAATCCTTAAAAGAACTCTTTGGGCAGATTCACAGCATAAAATCTTCCACTTCTGAAGTTCGATAAATCTAAAAGGAACTGACTGAAGTCTTGTTTACAAAAGCTAGTTATTAATCTCTGCCTATTGACATCGCATGCCATGAAACTTAAGACAAAAGTTTTTGTTCTTCTAAGAAAAGAAGTTATTAACTGCTGTTTTGTAGTTTGGTAATGTTTTTTGTAGTTACATTTTAATATAATTCAGTTAAGTGGGTTCCTTTTTGCAAGTCGTTCTCATGAACTATATTTCTTTTCTGTAGTTTTTCCTGCTTCAGGTTCTCCTCAAAGGAGTATTGATCAAAGAAGTACAACTTCAGCTGCTTCTGGTCCTGTAGGCGTAGTAACTGTTGTCAATGGCGAATCAAATAGCCTGGCATCTGCTCCCTATCCTCCTGATTCCCTGGTTTCTCAGAATGAGAGTGAAGAGGATGACAATCTAAATCCGACAGAAAAGCTTCAGTAAAAGTTCTTTAATTTTTTTCATAATGTATTTTAGTGATTTTGAGTGTTAATTTTTTAGTAAGTTCTATGTTAAGAAATCATGTCATATTTTAATCTACTTAATTTAGTATTACAGACCACTTAGTTAAATGAGTTCAGAGCTTCAAGCAGAAGGTTCCTACACCTAGGAAAAATGGCAGTAAACTTTAAGAACTGTAAATTTTTTTTATATATGTATACACACTTTTCAACTCTACATAAATTTGATTAATTATGACAAAGCACATAGCATATTGTTTTTTTTCTCCTCAGGAAGCTAAATGAAGTTCGTAAGAGGCTGAATGAGTTACGTGAGTTAGTTCACTACTATGAGCAGACATCTGATATGATGACAGATGCTGTGAACGAAAACACTAAGGAAGAGGAAGAAACAGAAGAATCAGAAAGTGATTCTGAACGTGGGAATCCACAGCCTGTTACAAATATTAGGTTGTCATATTTTTTTGTCATCCTAAATCTTTGTAACTAAGTTGCTACGGGTTTCCTGAAGCAATATATTATTTCAGTCAACCAGAAGTAACTTAATTCTGTGGTTACATTAACTTTCCAAAATTTTTGCTTTCCAGTAGCTTTCTTATAGAGACAATTAATAATAAGATAACCGTTGGTAACTTAGTTATATAGCAAATGTAGATTAGATTGGACATTTAGTAAATCACTGTAAGAGACCTTAAATTCTCTCTCTCAAATTCCGGAAAGGAATGTGACTCCTTTGGGTTTAAGCACTGAACTATGTGTATGGAATTCCACTAGAAGGTTAACTGGCCTATACCAAAGAATTGGAATAAAAATAAACTTCAGTTTAGAGAGGCATTTAGAGCTATAGTCTTAACAGGGCAACTGTGTGCATCAAGGATCTTCACTGTGCAGAAATGAATGCTAATTTAGCTATGAATTGTAAAGCTTTTATAATATAGATGTATACCTTGAGCGCTTCTTGAATTGTTGTAGATATAGCAAGCAATAATTCATAGCTGCTTCTGATTGCTTAAAAAAAAGAAATATTGAAGAGATGGATATTGAGAAATTTCAAATGTCTGGACTGATTTTATACAGGGTTGATTTTTTTATTTATTTTTAAAAAGGATCAGGACACATTCCTATAAAAGCCAGTTAATAAAATGACTGAAGTAAAATTTCACTGATATTGATTCTTAAAAAGTTAACATGAGTAACACTTTTTACCCTAGAAACCCTCAAGGAATCAGTAGTTGGAGTGAAATAAATAGCAATTCAAATGTACAGTGTGGAACTAATAACAGAGATGGAAGACATCTTAATACAAACTGTGAAATAAATAACCGATCTGCTGCTAATATAAGGACTCTAAAAATGTCTTCTACTCTAGGTATGTTCTAAAATCTTCTAATAATTTTAAGTCGTAATGCAAGTAATTCCAATAGCTGGACAGAATTTGAGAGAACCTTGTTTGATGAGCAAAATGTTCAAGAGTCTTCTAACATTAAGTTGATCTTTTTCTATTGTCCAGTAATTATAGTGAACTTGAAAAGTTCAATAATGTGTCACTGGTACTGATTTGTTTCCTCCTCTCCCCACCTCCAGACTGTCATAATAGGGAGGATGACAAAGATACCGACCTGCCCCAGGGGGAAGATGATGAAGTGGAAGAAGATAGAGCTAGCGAAGATTCCATATCTAGTCACAGAAGCAGCCTGGGTGATGCTGTGGGAGACGCGGAGTTTGAGCAGATCAATAGGCTTATAGCTGCCAAACAGAAACTTAGACAGTTACAAAACCTTGCTGCTATGGTGCAGGTATTTTATGAACATAAATCTGTGCACAAAAATGTACCATTCACTGTTTCATGTAATACATAACTTCTGATACGGAAAAACACTCTCTCAGTGTAACATTTAAAATGCTCATTTTTAGGCTGGGAAAAAGAGACTTTTTGATTTTTCTGAAGTCGGGGTGATACTTCCTGAAGTTCAAAGCTGGAATTTTCTTGAGGGATGCTAACCTAACAGAATAATGGCCTTAATACTTAACATTAGCACTGGATTACAAAATATGAACCAAGAAGTCTAATATTTTTTAAAATAATACTCATGTAAATTTTTAAGCTTATAATGAATATTCATCAGTTTTAGTTTTTGAATCCTACGCTTTGTAACATCATTCAATCAGTGAGGAAAAATTACTTATTATAGATTAAAATCTTCAGATGTTGCAACATGTTCCCAGTTGGGGTGTTTTGGGGGCGGGGGTGGTGTGTGTTTCTGGTTTCTTGTTTTTTTTAGAATCTTGAGGGTAAGCTACGAATTGACAGTGTTTCTAATTTAGAATATCTCATGATAATTTAGTTATGTTTATTAAAAACATTTTCATTAATCTAACATCCTTACAGAATGCTCACGTTTGAGCACCATCTAATGTAATATCTGCATACTGAGTACACATAAGTGTATCACAAATGTAAAGGCTCTATGTGAGAACTCTAAAATCAATCTCAATTAGAACATACATTTTACAGTAGCAACAGTATAAGCACTTACTGCAAGATTGTACTGCTATCAGAAATTCCTAAGCATCTGGATCAGGCTTGTTTTATCAGCGTAGAAATGTTAACTGTACAGTGGTACAAATCAGAATTAGAGATGATACAGCAGCTTCCTTCGTAAATAACCTAATTAGTGGCATGTCTTCAATCTTATCTTCATATTTACAAGGCTTGTACCTGTATGTGCTCAGTAATGGTACTGTAGGTCTGTAGCTGAGTCGTACTTGGTCACTGATGGTGATCTCTCCTGTTCAGTGGGTTCTCTGTTAAGAACGATAGTGTTGGAAAACAAAAGAAGCAGTGGCTACAGCTTTAATATTTTCAATTAAGTTGAGAACTGAAAATACGGAAAGAAAACAAGAAAAGTGGAATAGAGAACCATGTAGAAGACTGTTTCTAAAATATTTTACTTTCGAGAGTAGTCTTTTTGTTTTAAGCTCTTAAGAGTAATACTTAACTTCACAACTACAGTAATTAAGCAGTCTTGGTCACCTCAGTTTCCTGTTATTACTCTTTTCGTCTCCCACTTTGTTTCTTGACATGCCTTTGTGTTTCTATCCACTCAGTCGTAGGCATGAAATACAATTCAAGTGGTTTATGCTTCCAGAATGAGACAAGTTATCTTGCATTATAGTGGAAATTTCAATAGTGTGAACTTTGTAACTTTAAATTCTCTCATTAGCTTAATTTATCTTAGTCATGATGCCATGAAGATGATGACTTCGCAGTTCATGGTCTGAACTAAAGATAAAGCTATTTAGACTGTTCAGTTTTGAAAAATTAGTTTGGCCAACTAAACTTGTTACATTTTGTATAGCAGCTTGAGTATAGCCTAACTGCCTTTCTGACATCCTCTCAGGATGATGATCCAGAACCTCAAGCAACAATTGCAAGTGCATCTAATATTGGTGACTTGTTTTTGGGTGAGATGGAAGAGACAAAGCAACAACCAAACAATGTCCGAGCTAGTACCAACAAGTTACAAAAAGATGTAGGACTGAATGAAAAAGCAAGGTATGCCTTTGTCAAAGGATGGTAGAATCATACTTTAGGCAACTTCTTGCCAAGTAATATGCAGATAACTTATTTACACAGAGAGAAGTTTTATGAAGCTAAACTTCAGCAGCAGCAACGGGAGCTTAAGCAGTTGCAAGAAGAAAGAAGAAAACTGATTGAAATTCAAGAAAAAATTCAAGTGTTACAGAAAGCTTGTCCTGACTTACAAGTAGGTAGAATGTATTTATTTGCTTTCTTAAGCTGTTGAGCAACAAAGTATGAAATATCTTTCACACCATTTTTCACTATAAAAGTTGGAGAAAACTTAAAAACGGTAATGTTTGTATACTGTAAGCAGCTGGACTTCTAAGCCTAGGGAAGAGCTGTGGTTATCTCATTGCACTGTAGGTTCTTGCTCAGTGTTTGCTGTATCAAGCTCTAATTTCATTGCAGTATGTCCTCAAAAGCCTTGTTGTAAAGTCTTCAAAGATAAAGAATCTTCTGTCTTATTTTTAGCCTGAAATTTATCTGTCCGTACATGCTAGTCACTTCATCTTCACTCCTCTTAGCAGTCGTTTGCAGAGTCTGGTATTTTGAAACACATATCTTGTAAGAATAGTCAACACTTTGTTGTATTCAAACTTAGCTGCACAGTGCTCTACTGTTTCTCATATTCATAGAAAAAAGTTCATCTTCAGAGAAGTGAGCAGTAAATTATCGATACTGTGCATCTACAGCATTATATGATACTATATTACATAAAAATAAGTTTTGTTGATTCCTGGTTAAGTTCTGAAATAAGTATTTAGCCTTGATTCAAAAATTCCCTTTCACTGAATTCTACTTCTCCTATCTCATAAAGCCAGAACTGTGCTGGGTTTTAACAGCAGGTAAATTTTAGAAAGCTACTCTACTCTAGATTGCCATTTTGCTTTCTCTTTCAGTTGTCAGCTGGCCTGGGTAACTGCCCAGCAAACAGGCACACTTCACCAGCAACCTCAACTCCAGCCATGAATGAGTGTAACGCAGCTGGCAAGCCTTTACTTGAATTTGATGAATCTGTAGCAGGAGGCAATGAGGTATTGACATTCTGTGACTTAAAAAAGGTTTAAAAATGAAAAAAAAAATCCAAGTAGCTTGGACACGTTTTTAAGTACTTGGCATAGGGAATGGAGTAGTACCCTTTTAACAAAGTGTATGTAGCTTCTTTGTTTCATTTCTGGAAAGAAGTAAATACTGACCAGAACAGGCAAGAGATCTTCCTCAGATACAGCAGTTGTTGCCAAATATTAGTGTGGAAGTTGAATTAATTTTGAATTTCTACTGTGAACATTTCATAGTGTATACCACAGGCAAGTCATCCATGAAGAAAACGATGTCAATATTTGAAATGTAGTTTATCTTCTACACATCTTCCTTCCCCTTTCCCCAAAAATTCATGTCTTAAATAATGATCTGGGTATCATTTAGTCTTTCTGAAAACTATGCTGGTGTTTGTAGGGGTGGAGGCATATGTGATGAAAAGTGTTCCCTGACTAGACACGGCATCAGAAACAAATATCTGAAAAAAATACTTTTTTTAATAGACTTTCTTTGTCAGTTGCATCAGCGTTTTTGTAAATTTTCCTTTAAAAGTTTAGGTGAGGCTGATTGGGCAATGCCTGTACTGGTGTCATTAAAAGCCAAATTTTCCTTCTCGAAGAAGAGAATTTCAGAACTTTGACATCTTCAAAATAAGCATTATAGGACAATTTGTCTCTTTTCACTAAATAAAAGGTCTAAATTCTTTCTTCTAAAAAGAAACTGTCTCTAAAATGAATGTGCTGATGTAATTGCTAACGCTCTACAAACAGTGGCTTATTAATTATCAAAATATGTATGGATTTTTGTTGGAAAATTTCTTAGCTCCAGCACCACCAACTAGTTCAGTCGCTTTCAAGCTTGAGTGCACTGTTACTTGGACGTCTCTTAAGTCTATGTTTTCAGCTCTAGTTCACTTACACAATTGGTTTTGTATGTCATGCTATTATGGTATGCTATTTACATGTTGGTAAAAGTATCTTGCCGTTTGTGCTTTCACTGTATCTAATTTAAGGTAGATAAAGACATCTTTCTACCTGTACCTTTCCCTTTATGTGCTCTTTGTAAATCGTGGCTTCCTTAAGTTTTGTTCAAACATACACTGTGGCTTGAAGTTTCTGCAGGTCGCAGAAAATTTTTGTTGTGTCTCCTACTTATGAAGGAAGTACTTGGCACATTTTTCAGATTGCTCCGGAGGGTAATAGTCTGTCATGCTACTTAAAGAGCCAACAATGCATAAATTATGTGATAAAAACAGTTTTGAGTTAAATAGGCACTATTTTTCTTGAGAAAAAAAATCTGTCCTATAATGTTTAATTACCTTCTTAGATTTTGCAGTATTTAGGATAAATAGTAAATACGGGATGTATTTCGTAGCTTTCTGTACTGTAACTTCAGTTGCAGTATAATATCAGTGCCTGAACAAAAAGGTATCAGTGTAGTATCAAATATTGAAATTTTAATGTGCTTTAGATTGTATTTATTTTGTTTATATACTGATGTCGTCCATTTTACTGCAAACAGTTATGGTCTGAGATGAGAAGACATGAGATTTTAAGAGAAGAATTGCGACAGAGAAGAAAGCAACTTGAAGCTTTAATGGCTGAACACGAGAGGAGGAGAGAGCTCGCAGAAACAATATCAGCTGTTGCTGCATCTGTTAAAAGTGAAGGATCAGAAGCTCCGCGCACTCCACAGCAGAGCAGGACTGAAAAGTAAGAACACGAGTTGCTCTGTGTTAGTCAGTAGACGCTTCTGTTTAGTGAGGTGTCAGTCTTGGGGCAGTTTCTTGTGTTCATCTGAGCACTGAATGTGATGATGTAACAGAGGGGTAAATTAATTTCTTGACTTGTAAAGTGACAGTTACTTGGCAACTTGTCAGTTTTATGGGTCTTCCCCGCACATTTAGTCTACCCTGCTACATAAATGGTGAAAAATCAGCTAAGGAGAAGAGAATGTGTGGAAAATACCAAATGCTCAGAGTAGTTTTCCTTCATCTCTACACCATTTATAACAATAGTAAAGTAATGATTTTGCAAAACATTGAGTAGTTTTATTTAACTATCCCAGTATCAGAAGAATACTAGTTTGATTTTTGCATTGGCGAGATAATGTTTGAATTACATGTGGTGCAGCTTGATTAATTGAAGATAAAGAGACTTGTAATTGTCAACAGATTATTTCAATAATTTGTCATAAACTAAAAAAAAAGTACTCCTCCCTTACCAAATACCCCCTTTTTTAATATTTTCCTTCTTTTTTTACTTTTTTTTCTTTTTTCTATTACATTCACTAGGACAGTGGCTACCTGGGGAGGTTCTACCCAGTGTGCGCTAGATGAAGAGGATGGAGATGAAGACGGTTATCTCTCTGATGGAGTTGGTCAGGCAGAAGAAGAGGAAGAAGATGCGTCAAGTTTGAATGACAGTTTCTCAGTTTATCCCAATAACAACATACCAGAAAACACATATTTTGTTAAAGAAAACAAGGATAGGTTAGTGGCGTTACTTGTTGATCTGATGCTTGTCAGAGTATATTTGAAAGGGGTGGAAGAAGCGTTGCGTTAACTACAAGGCATCCTCTTACAGCAAGGTGAAGTTTCTTTCTACTTGCGAGGAAGCTGTGTGCAGTGGCGCTCCCTTGTCTGAGTCTGTGTAGCTGCAATGTGTGTAATGAATTTGATTATTTTTCCCATTTTCAGCCATATTAAATGGCTGCCATTGAGCTCTCCAGTTGTTTTGCAGTAGCTCCTTACGTTCCCATGTCACTTTAATCAGCTTAAAAGATAACCTGTGTGAAATTTTTGCCATGATATTGATCGGTCTCTTCAAAAAAAGTAATATAGAGAATTAAACTAACTCTGAAATTTTTCTTCCAAATTGTTGACTTTTGCAGTTTTGAAAACTACTTCTTACTAATTTTTTTAATTAACATGACTATTTTTAACTCTTGCTTACCTGATCGATTTCCTTAATAAGCTTTGCATGACTAAGTGAAAAGGCCATGTTCGAAGTAATGTATATCTCTTAAATTGATTTCTTCTGTTTTTGATACCAAAATAATTTTAGTAGATAGTGGCCTTCTAGTCAGGAACTGGGCCTCTTGATTTCTCATGTGCTATGTTGGTGGCTCCTATTTTCATCTAAGTACGTATTATATATCAGTAATGAACAATACTAAAAACAAGATCCAGAAACATCCTTAGCCATTCTTTTTTGACAGTGATCGTCAGTTGGCTGGCTGTTACTTTTCATTTGTTTAGGATAACGCTGGATTGACAAAATTGCCTGGGTGATTAGCTGGCACACTGAAATCACCTGTGCCAAGTGAGTTGTTGGTGTACAACTGAAACATCATTTGAATAATGGAAATACTATTAGAAGTAGTTCTTTGAAATGTCAGCTTCTGTCCTCATTCTTCCTTTTTTTTCCCTACCCAGGTGGAAAAATTGCCGTCCTCTTTCAGCAGATGGGAATTACCGTCCATTGTCTAAGGCCAGGCAACAGCAAAACTTAAGTATGCGACGTCAGGAAAACCTTCGGTGGATGTCCGAACTTTCATATGTGGAAGAAAAGGAACAATGGCAAGAGCAGATCAATCAGTTGAAGAAACAGCATGAATTTAGTGTCAACATTTGTCAAACTTTGATGCAGGATCAGCAGGTAGATATGAAGAGCAGTTACTTCGCTGTTCTTGCTTTGTCCTTTTTTTTCCCCTCAAAATCTTTCCAGCAATAACTTCAGGTTTTGGTAATGTGGCTACTGTCATGTATTTTATTTCCACAGACCCTCTCTTGTCTTCTGCAGACCTTGCTTACAGGCCCTTACAGTATGATGCCAAACAATGTTGCATCTTCACAAGTACATCTTATTATGCATCAGTTAAACCAGTGTTACACTCAGCTAACTTGGCAGCAGAATAACGTCCAAAGGTTTGTTGGCTGTATTAGTGTTTCTGGAATCTGAAATGCTTCAGTAACAGAGAACATGGTTATGTGAATACAAGATTATAGATAATTGTTAAATATGAGACTGTTGAGTTGATAAAAAGCTTTTGAAATTATGTACAGCATTTTTGGTTGTTTTTTTCGCCACTGCTTTAATGCCTTTGGGATGGTTCTTTTAGAGTAATCTTTAGTGAAGAGAACCACAAGTTGGCATCTCTTCCAGTAATCTGTTGTGATAGCTTTATTTGGCTTTTTTTGTTTAAATTTGCTTTCCTTGAATGTGCTTTTATATCTGTAGTCTTTGCTAGACTATCTGGCAAGATTCTGGATTCTAATGGTTATGGAAAGATGGTGGTAAAACTTTTTGTCCTCTGTTAGTGTTGTCAGTCAGAATTTATACTTATTTATACTCCATTTGGTTGTACTACTTTTACCTTCTGAAGAATGATTTTTTTTAAAAAAAGATGTAATAGTCATTTTAAGTTATATGAAAGTTCAAGCTCTTCATCTCTGTTTTGTATTTGGCAAGTGGTATATAGTTACTGGCCTCTTATGTAATATTTTAAAGTAGTTTTAATGGCACTTCTGCAAATATTTTGTATCTTTGTTTTTTTTTCTGTTTAAGATTCCTTTTCAACCTGCCTATTTTTTTTTAGTATCTAGTCAATTTTTGTCGTTCTTGCAAGGATGTTTAACTTCTGTAAACACGACCACTGCTATAGAGCAGTTGACTTTAAAACTGTTCCTGTCTGTTGCTCAGGATTAAATACAAATTTATTTTTTTTCTTGAGGTTTTTCTTTTTCTAGCTAAATGGAGCAGTTCTTTACATACATTACATGGGGTAGGTGAAATAGTATGAATCTCAAATTACTGGAGTATGTATGTACAGCTTGCCCTTAGCATTCTTTTTTTTCCCAAAGTGCTTATTTTCTCTTGTTTTCAAGGTTGAAACAAATGTTAACTGATCTTATGCGTCAGCATGAAGAGCAACAGTGTCAAGAGAAGCCATCAAGAATGGAGAGAGCCAGTAGTGCAGCACCACCTCCATCTCCTCTTTTCTGTCCATTCAACTTTCCTCCACAACCTGTGAACCTGTTTAATGTACCAGGTTTAACAAATTTTTCTTCCTTTGCTCCAGGTGAGCATTACTACAGGTGTGAAAAGTAATATGAATTTAAAAAAATTCTGTTGCTTTATTTAATTGAAATCTTAATGTGAACTTGCTGAAACTCTGACTATTCTGTTATATTTGAAATGGTCTTAAACAGTACTTGAGTAAGTCCGTATTATCCTAGCAGAAGTTTGTTAATCTTTAGCAATAAACCCTTGTATATTTTGACTTCAGTATGAAAAACAAGACTTTCTTAAGAAAAAGTTGGTTATACTCGAAAATACCCACTCCATAAAGTTTAACATTTTAAATGTTCTTCATCCAACATTTGAAAAGTAATATTTGAAGCTTTTACATGACTGTAAATGGAGTGTTACAGATTTTTTTGTTCCTATCAGAGGTATAGAGTATCTGTTGACTTGGATACAGTGTTCCTAATCTCATTACCAAATCTACTTTTACTGTAGAATTTGAAATGGAAAAAAAAAAAAAAGTAGTTATTTTACTGTATGATTATAAAGTTGTTAAAGCTGCCTTAATAATGTATTTCAGCTTTTTCATGAAACCAGGAAATACGCATAGGCCTAGACTGTAGCTTTCAGATTGTAAAGTCTGTTTCCTGTTAAGGATGTGTTTTAAATTACACAGAACCTGCATGGAAGAGTAGTTACGTTCAATTGCCAGTACTATAAAGATTTTGAATTTGCAATGAGTGTTATGAATTTATGACTTCTTTGGCCCTATGAATACTTGTACCATTGGAATTTTTTTGTCAGTTAGGTAGTTGAAGCATTGATAAAGTCTTCATGCAGACAGAACTCTGCCTTTTTTGGAATTGATGTCATTTTTACCTTCACTTGTAGGAGCTCTTGATTAGGGTTTCTTGAAGTCCCTTCTCTCCACTGATGGGACTGTAGTAGCGTGTGTAGTATCCAGTAATGTTCAAAACCTGCATTTAAGATAAATTCTAATTATTGCAGTACTTTAAGGATGAAAACAGTTTTTGCTTACTTCTCCACTGTATTTTTGCTTCATAATTTTATGTTTCCACACAATATAGCTCCAATGTGACTTTTATCTCTCAGATAAATGAGGTAGTATCTTCTGACTTTTTTATTTACTTTGTAGGTATTAACTATAATCCCGTGTTCCCTTCTGGTTTTGGAGATTTTGCACACAATATTTCCCCACGCAGTAGCGAGCAACAGCAACAACATCCTCTAGATCATAATGCTTCTGGGAAAACTGAGTATATGGCATTCCCCAAACCTTTTGAAAGCAGTTCCTCTAATGGAGCAGAAAAACAAAGGTATTTAATGTCACAGTGCAACTCTCCTTTAATCTTTTCTCTCCCTCTCTCCTCCCTTTTCTGGGGCTTGTGGGAATTCATCATTCTTTTAGGGGATTTATTGTAACAGGATTACAAGATGAACTTTACTTTTGCAGCTTCCAGTTTATTTTTTTTTTAACTTTTTTCAGTGTTCTTTTCTGTATATGAACTAAGGTATCATTTTGTGAATGTTTTAAGATTAAATATAGTATTGGAATGGTTTTGTGATACTTCTTGTAAGTGGAGGAATATTTCATTTCCATGTTTTTTGAAACTGAGCTGTTTGAATAACTAGAGGATATAATTTCAGTGAATGTTTGGGTTTTGTGCTACAGTAGATGGTAATGAATGTTTTAAGAAATGCTTTGTCCTATAATACTATTGGAGCATAGCAATAGCTCTGTAAGTATATTCAGATTGAAATCAGTGATAAATGAGTTTCTTCCAATGTCTTCCACTTTCCATTTGGAAGAGTTCTCACTGAATATTTTTTTTTTCAGTGTTCAGTTGATGACTAAGTAACGTTATAGATAAAGCTATTTGCCTGGTAATACATGGTGTTTCTATCTGAGAGATTTGATATTTTCTATCTGAGGTTATGATATATTGTGGTGTTTCTTTCTGACAGAAGGAGTCATAGACAACCTGAGGAGGAAATGGAAAAAAGATCAACTTGGCTTAATGATAGCCAGGAAGTGAAAAAAGATGATCAGTCTCAGCTGAAAGCAGGTTTTGCAGTTTCAGTACAAAACATTGCTTCCAGTCATAAAAATCAGTCTGGTATGAGCAGGAGAAGAGAGTTTGATGAAGAGTCGTTGGAGAGTTTTAGTAGCATGCCTGATCCAGTAGACCCAACTACTGTGACAAAGACGTTTAAATCTAGAAAAGCATCAGCACAAGCAAGCTTGGCATCAAAAGATAAAACACCAAAATCAAAGAATAAGAGGAAGAGTTCTTCTCAGCTAAAAGGCAGAATTAAAAATACTGGTAGGTTGTAATCTTAGATATGATGGCAAACTCAGATTGGATTGTTACTGTTACATTCCAGAGAATTTACTCCATAAATGGTACCTATAACAATGAAACTAAGTTTTTTTTAAATAGGAATTAATTTTACATAATGTAACTACATAAGGTTTTTCAGTATTTCAGTAAATAAAAAGCATAATTGATTAGGACATCATGGTTTGAATGGACAGCGGATGCAGAAACGCTAAGATTTGGAATAAGCCACCAGAATAGTCTTCCTCTTCATTATGTCTTCGTGTTCAAACTGGATGACTTGCTGAAAGATCTGCTTCACTAAATACTGAATGAGAATGGAGAGAGTACTACTAGCATGTGTAGTACTGTTGCAGTCACAGAGGATTTAGTGCTACTGTAATGGCTTCAGTGTGTAGAGGAAAATTTTTGGCTGGGAAACGTCATTGATGTTTTGTATCTTTGAGATTGCCCTCAAAGAAATTTTTAATAAAACATTTTGTATTTTTTTTTTTGTTTCTTTCTTTTCATTCTATCCCATAAGGTTATGAAAGTGCAAGTGCTTCTAGTGTGTGTGAACCCTGCAAGAGCAATAAAAGCAGACACTCTGAAGAGATTGTTCATGCAAAGGTGTTCAGCAAAAGGAATCGGGAACAATTGGAAAAAATAATTAAATACAGTAGATCTACAGAAATGTCTTCAGGTATTCTTTTCTGAATGTCAGTAATTATTTTGCAAACTTCTCTGAGTGAAAGACCTCCATACACTATATTTAAAAGCAGTGTATTATATCAAGAACACAATACTGTATATTTAGCGTCTGGATTTTGCTTTTTAATTTCTAAGAATGCTGTAATCATAAAAGTGTAAAAAAAATTGGGTATTGATTGCTTTTGAGTGTTTTCTGGAGATTAGGTACTTGATTAAAATAAATAAGAAACAAACCTATTACTGTAAAACAAAAACCTAGCCAACCAAAAACTCACCCATTTGTTGGTGTTTTTATGGAAAGTAACTGCACAACAGATGAAGCTGTTTAGTGTTTAAACTACATCCTGTACTGCATACTTGTTTTCTTTCTGTTCATGCTTAAAGGAGCTCTGTCAAATACCATCCAAATTTAATCTTGTAACATCACATAAACCCTTACATTTTTGCCATCTGCACTGCTTTTCTTGCATCTAGATCATAAAAGTGTTCTCTTCTGTGTCTTTTTAGGTTCTGCCAGTACCTTTGTTTTGTTTGAAAGATGCAGAAATTTTAGTCATTGTAGCACGATGTACAGCTTTGTCAATGTAGCTGTGTCCACACTAAGAGCTGTTTATTGGTATATGTAGTAAACTTTTACCAGCCAAGTTTTCACAATAAGCAGCTTTGATGTGGTTTGGATGACTAAGCAGTTTTCTTCCTGCTATTTTGTATAGACCCTGTCTTTATTTCTGGTGCACATTTTTGTGTTTATCACTGTCTATCCCCACTTTCCTACAGCGCATGCTAGGAGAATTCTGCAGCAGTCTAACAGAAATGCATGCATTGAAGCGCCAGGTAATGCATTCACTGCTTAGCTTCAACAATGTCCTATTACGTTTGGTTTTGATTTTTTTCCCCCTTAGCTTTGGTCGTATAACTCAGACTGTTTAGCAGATGGTCAAAATCAGTACTATTGCAGCATCTTCTCTATAAACAAGGCAAGAGAAGTTACTTGTAATTTGCATGAAATGCAACGATATAAACAAACAACTTTGAGTTATCACTATGAAGAATGTGTTTATCATGTTCTTTGTTAGTCACAATTACAAGAGGAAAATACGGAGGTAGATACTACAACAGAAAACTAATTTCAGTAGGCATTTTTAGTGTGTTTAAAAGCTGATATTAGGTTTTATTAAGGGTGAAGGGAAGCAATTTCTAGTGACTTATTAAAGGCTCAAAAAGCTTGCCTCTATGCTTAAAAAATACTGGTAAACTATTTGCAGTTAATCAAATTGCACAGTAACACTTGCTGTATTGCTAATAACTTCATTAACTTGAATACTAACATATACGCATCTGTTAAACTACGCTGAGTTTTCCAAATTTAACTTTTTTCCATTCAACGCTTGCCAAAATATGTATGTAATAAGTCTTCTGATGCAAGGATAATCCTTAATTTTCAAAGGAATGGGAGACTTATTAGGGAACATATTGTCTTCTCATACACTTGTGATTGGGCTTAAGGGTAAGAGGTTTTATGTGAGTGAGCCTCAGAAGTGATGTTAGGCATGTGTGAGAATTTAGGATTTATGTTTGTGTGGGAGGGAGTGACTTTCTTGAATTCAGTCTAGAGCTTTCTTCATGTTGTTGCTTGTGTTGCAAAAGTGTGGACTGCTTGTCTTATATAAGCTTGAGACCTTTGGCTATTTTGTTTAAAATATCTTAAAACTCCGTTTTCAGTGTTGAATACCTATTCTGAAAGCAATATTTTGTGTGCAATATTTTCTTTAATGAAGAATGCTTTCTAAAGGTATTGTTCAGAATTGTAAAGAAAATTATTCCTATGAGTGCTTTATATTTTATTTTGTATATAAAGGATTGCATAAAGTATTATTTCAGAATGTTTAAATTTTTGTTGCCCTTCAGGAAATGAGTAAGTTTTAAGAAAGCAGCTATATAATGGAATCTACAATGACTGAGAGATAATTTGTGTACCTGTAGCTTGCTTACCTAATAGGCAGTTCTCTTTCAACTGGGTGCATGTCAAGGACTTAACAAGTTCTGCTTTCTTCCTACAGAAACTGGTAGTGATCTTTCTATGTTTGAAGCTTTGCGAGACACAATTTATTCTGAAGTGGCAACACTTATTTCTCAAAATGAATCTCGTCCCCACTTCCTTATTGAACTTTTCCATGAGCTTCAGCTGCTAAATACAGATTACCTGAGGCAAAGGGCTCTGTATGCTTTGCAGGTATGCACACAATTTTTGATCTTGTGTGTGAATCAAACAAATCTTAGATCCTTTATTACAGTAAAGATTTATTATCTTTTCCAGGATATAGTGACCAGACACTTATCTGAGAACAACGAAAAAGGGAAATGCCCCAAATCACTGAATTCTGCAACATGGATAGCATCAAATTCTGAACTCACTCCCAGTGAAAGCCTTGCTTCTACAGACGATGTAAGTTTTCAAGTTCAGAAGCTAGTTTACTGCCAGCTCTTCCTATCTTTTCAACTTACATGCATGCTTATGTACGGAAATAATTCATATTAGTGATTGATTTTTTTCTACAATTCATATCAACTTACACAGACTTTTCTAAACAAAGATGCAAGAGAATCTTAATGCAAAAGTGATTAAACATGGTCATATTCTTGATACTGGAAATGAGTGATGTGTCAGGGAGGAATAGAACATGGAGAGGGGCATTAATTGGAAACTGATATTCAAAAAGAGCTAAAATCTTCCTGTGAGTAAGGTCAGGGCAAGTACTGATCACAAGATTCCCAGGGAATTTGAGCTTTTTTGTATTTAAGAAATCACTGATTCCTCTGTACAGTTTCTTATATATTTTATAATTGAAGTATTTGAAAAAAACATGATAAAATGACCTGATGGATTTATAACCTGAAAGTAAGGTTGTTCCCCCAGTCAAGCAGACTGGCAACAGATCTTGATGCCACAGCATGTGGCTGAAAAGAATTGCTGGCTTGTTGACATATCTGTGACAGGACAGTGCATTCCCGCATTGTATCCAGCTCTTTGGTGTTTTTTAGGAGACTTTTGGCAAGAACTTTTCTACAGAAGCATGTCAAGATTGTGAACAAAATGATGCAGACAATGGGAGTACTATGTCTACATCTTCAAATTTTGAACCCTTTGCCACTGATGACCTTGGTAAGAATGATGCGATCTACAGTGTTGTAGGTGTTCCTCCCTCCCTCCTTAAAATACCTGCAATTGTCTATTCTTAAATATTATCCTATTTTTTTTATTTTTAGTGTGTAATCCCACGTTTTGTAAAACAACACTTAAAGAAATTAGCCACTTGTGAAACACTGAGTTGATCGAAGTGTGTGATAGTGTTAGAACTCAACTACAGTTACATGTAGAGTTCAAAACTTGTGGCTTTGAATTAATTTTTATCATTGTTTACTTGTCTATCGATTGAAAACATTTTATTTAGATTAAAAGGTGTTTTTATTCTAAATATAGGCAACACAGTGATTCACTTAGATCAAGCTTTGGCTAGGATGAGGGAATATGAGCGTATGAAAATTGAAGCTGAAAGTACCCTTGACTCTGAGGGCTGCTCTAGTAATTTTCAGGGTGCTTCTGCTGCTAAATTAGAAGGTATGCACATATATACATATTTTGCTTAGTTTTAGAAAGTAATTATTCTGAGTCTCAAGAATCATTTAATTGGATGATTTGCTTTCCTCTTCATTTATATTGAAAACCTAGCAAAGTTTCAAAGGATCTTTACATACTTTAGTAAATATGATTATTTAAAAAAAAAAAAAGTTTTTGAAATTGGCATTTCTTTAATAGTAGTGTTGAATGACTTAAATGTGTGGGTTTTTTTTTAACGAGGTCCAACTACCGATGAAAGTCTTCCTGTGCCGCAGTCAAGTGAAGTTTCTGCTGTTCCATGTCCTCGTATAGATACTCAGCAGCTTGACCGGCAGATTAAAGCGATTATGAAAGAGGTTATTCCTTTTCTGAAGGTAAGAACTTTTTTCAGTAATGTGTGAATTAGGAGAATAGGAAAAGGACCTGCATAATTGCATAGAGGAACATTATTTAAAATGGATAACTTGCATCTTAACACATTTATTGCCAGCTGTTGCTAAGATGCAGACCTTGCTGAAGATGAAGTAAGGATTAAATACTCCAACAGAATGATTCTGTGGAGTTATTAATAGGAGAAGGAAATGGTAAGATTTCTAGATTGCATAGGGCTGGTGGACTTGACATCAAGAAGAACAGAGATTTTTTTCTTTGGACTGACCAAATTAGACAGAAATGTTTGAGAATTCACTTCTGAAATACTAACTGCCTTTTAGCAAAGAGAACGAAGATAATTTTATTTGAGATTGTTACATATGATGTAACTTGAGATATTTTTTAAGAATAGCTCTGTGATTTTTAGCATTTTCTCCTGTTTACAAATATCTTTAAAATTGTTGAGAGTTTGTAAACTTGTGTGAATACAAAAGAGAAATGTGCTGCTTTAAAGAAGGAGGAATAGTCACAGTTCATTATTTGAAAGATTAAAGAGCAGAGAAATTGAGTTGTAAGATCCTGAAGTAATCTCCCTGTTCCCTTTTATAGTATGCACAGTATGTAAGCTTAGGTTTGTTTAATAAGGTACTTGGTTGATACCAGTTTTAGAAACTGTGCGTATTACTGACATGCCACGGTCTCAGTGCCTGAAGACTTCTTTTGTTTGCAACTTTAAGGAAGCTTACAACAGTAGATATCTTAACATAAGCTTTAATACACTTGAGTACACAACCACAACTATGAAGATTCTTAGTTTGTCCAAATGTTAAAAGATGGCATGTGCTAATGTATTGGGAAAGTGAAATAAAGCTTTGTGTGTCATGGCCAATCAGTCATTAATGAAATACGATATAACTGTGTTCCAATTAGTTTATTTTGTGAGATGGGTTAGGACCTGTTCATGGAGCACTGTTCCTTCCGTGCACAGATGATAGCTCATTCTGTGATATCTGTTTAGGAACACATGGATGAAATATGCTCTTCTCAATTACTGACATCAGTAAGACGTATGGTCTTGACTCTTACACAACAAAATGATGAAAGTAAAGAATTTGTGAAGTTCTTTCATAAGCAGCTGGGCAGTATACTTCAGGTTAGTAGCTTTTCAGTATTGTTTTGCAGTGTTTTTGTATTGTTTTTTGTTTGTTTTTGTTGAAACTTAGATAGTGAGCAACAGGTAAACCAGCTTCCCTGAAGTTGTATTTTACAATTTAAATAACATAGCAGCTGTTCTCCTTCAGCTTTGATAGAGCAATGAGGTATTACGTTGTTACTTTAAAATTAAAGCTTTACCATGCGCAGAACTTCTTTTCTATCACTGCCAGATAGTGTGAGGTGTATCTCTTACCTGTGGTTGTCTTCAGAGAGCTCTGGTGATGCTCTACGTGGACATTTTGTGTAAATTTCTGAAAATCAATAGGCTGCTTTTCTCTTTTTCTTTTTTTTTTTTCTTAGAGTTTAAATCAATAACTTGGTAAATTCTGTGTTAATGTGACTAGAGATTCTACTTAAAATCAGTTTAAGATAGCAAACCATATTTTTTAAAAAGTACGAGGTATTATATACCAAACTAATCTTAAGTTATTAGGAATATGAAAAATACTTAATCTTTGAAGTTTAAAAACCTGTTTCAAAATCTGAAGAATTATTTCTCTTCACAGGATTCACTGGCAAAATTTGCTGGTAGAAAATTAAAAGATTGTGGGGAGGATCTTCTTGTGGAGATCTCTGAAGTGTTGTTTAATGAATTAGCCTTTTTTAAACTCATGCAAGACTTGGACAACAGCAGCATTTCCGTAAAGCAAAGGTGTAAAAGAAAAACAGAAACTACTGAAGTGATACAGTCTTATGCTAAAGAGGTTTGTTTTATTACATTTTTTTTAAAATGTAGCTTTTCTGAGTTTCTTAAATATCTGTATTTCCTAAACTACCATGATTACCTTAGTTCATACATTGTGTATATGTTTTTTTTCTACAAATTAGGGCTGTATAGTCAGTGTTGCTTGTACAGAAGTATGAACTAGTTTTCCTCAGTAAGGGAGATGTCCTGTATTATAGATGAGTGTCTGTTACAGATACCTAATTGTGTAGACTCTGTTGTTGGTAATTCAGAGGAAATGTATTTTAATGGCTATATATGCACATAGGAATGAATAGTCAGTGTTATCTTCTGGGGACATTCAGTAGTTTTTGTGGTTTAACCCCAGCCAGGAGCTCAGCCCCACACAGCTGCTCGCTCACTCTCCCCTGGTAGAACAGGGAAGAGAATTGGAAGGGTAAAAGTGAGAAAACTCATGGGTGGAGATGAAGACGGTTTTAAAGCAAAAGTTGTGTGTGGAGGCAAAGCAAAACAAGGAATTCACTCCCTACTTTCCATCGGCAGGCAGGTAGCCGTCTCCTGGTAAGCAGGTCTCCATCATGTGTGATGGTTACTTGAGAAGACAGATGCCGTAACTCTGAAAGGTCCCCCCTTTCTTCTTCCTCCTCCAGCTTTTATTGCTGGGCATGACATTATATGGTGTGGAATATCCCTTTGGTCACTTGGGGTCAGCTGTCCTAGCTGTGTCCCCTCCCAGCTTAGTGTGCACCCCCAGCCTATGTGCTGGTGGGGTGAGGTGAGGAGCAGAAAAGGCCTTGACTGCGTGTAAGCACTGCTCAGCAGTAATGGAAACATCTCTGTGCTATCAGTGCTGTTTCCATTACAGGTCCAAAACATAGCCTCATACTAGCTAGTATGAAGAAATTTAACTCTGAGCTAAATATTTTGACAGATGGAGTCCCAGTTCATCATCTTTCCCGTTATGCCTACAGTTTTCTTTGCAGTAGCTTAGTTAGACACCATCTTTACCTAACTTGAGTAAGTCCTATGAAGTCATCAAATAGCTGGTTTGTTGGCATATATAGGAAGTATCACTTTCTAGACTTGGAGTGTAAAATATATAGAAACTTTTCAGAAGTTTTTGAGACTGTAGTACACATTCTGCTCTAACAAAGCAAGTTTTGATTGGTGTTTGTGCCATTTACATGATTAAAAAAAATGGTGATGCAACGTCTTTAATTTTAGTATTGCAGATTTCAGGAACCTAGCTTTCTTTTTTTAGTTACATAACTGTTTACAAAACAGACAGTAAACCAGATCACATTAATATACTTAAATTGGTCAGGCATCTCTCTCAATGTTTGTTCTTGTATAGTATAGTTATGACTTCAGTGTCCTTTCAGCTTTCTTTTAGGAACACAAATATCAAAACAAACCCTTAACACATTCTTATTTTAAAATACCGACAGAAGATATTTTGTGAATCTGTCAAAGTTCTGGAAGTAGTTTTAAGCATATCATCAGCTACATCTCAAGATAGTTCAACTTGGATAAACCAGTAATGTGGCTAGTGTGAGAGAGACTGTGGAGTGCCTTGTAAAAAGGCCAGAGAAACACTCTGAATCCTGAAGGATTTGGACATGACTTCCTATTTTATCTGAAGCTTGCTCATTGGGCCTTTGTTACATAAAGGATTGGTTTATACAGTGCTGTGAGAATGTTTGGAGCCTACTTAGATCTAGTGTTTCTTCTCCTCTCCTTGAAGACAGAGAATTTAGGATTAAAGTCAATGTTTGCCTCGTTGCTGTGGCAGCAGTTCAGATTCGGCAGAACCAGAGATGAACCAGAATTGGTAGGTTCTGGTTACTTCATGCAGACCTGCAGTTATCTTTGTATCTCACAGCTTTCAGGTCTGGAATCCTGATGCAGACACATCTCATCTTGCTCAATTTTGTGGCTGTCTTGAGTCCAGTAAGCTGACTGGCTTTAGATTCCATGCTGAAAAACACAGTGCTCTGTCTTGACCGGAGCTGGTATATCTAATTCTATGTGTTAAATGTGATTTAACCACAGACTGGAGAATTAGCCCCTGTAAAGATAATTGCTTAAATAAAAAGGGCTAGCACACTTTTTTGTAATATTTTGCAACTCTAAAATTTTGAAGACATCTGCGTAAACATCACTTGTAGTACAGAAGGCCCTGTGGCTTACTGCCATTCTGAGGTACCAATTCTTGGTATAATTGGCATTTTAGCCAGGCTTTCATGAAGCCTTAGTTTGGCTCAGTATTTCAAAGTTATTTCAGTTTAGAATTGAAGGCAGTTTGTGTTTCTTCTAGGCAAAAAAAGGTCTCCAGGTGGATGTTTGTTCATCTGCTGAAGATGTCGATGAGGACAAAGTATGTTTATACTTCTCAACTGTCTTTATTCCTCAGATAATTTCACAGATCACTTAGTCTTACTTTTTTCTGTCATATAAATCCAGTATCTGTGGGCAGCCCATTTACTAGTGTTTATAAATCCATTAAACGTCATGGGGTTTATCTCCTTTCTTTTATTTTCAGTGATTTACTTTACTAAAGTAACAAAGTAAATTATATCTTCCCTTTCTTAATTTGAGTTGACAGTCTGGAAAATGACTACCAAAAAAAAAAAATCTGTCTTCATCAATGTGTCTTTGTTGGTATTATGTGCATTCAGTAAACATGACTTGGATATCAGTTTCTGGGTTGTTCTTGGTTTTATTCCTGTTTCTACTGCAGAGCCATTACCAGCGTAAAGGCTGTTTGATGCATTTCTTACAAAACATTACCTTGTTACCTTTCAAGAAGTGCACTCAGATCAAAAAGATAGTATTTAAGATGCTTTTCTATTTATTGTTGGTGACCTTAATGTAGAATGAGCTTTGCTTTAGGACTGACAGTTTGAAAGTCTAAAAAGAGTGAAGTTTATGTTGAATGCTACACAACTGAAATGGAATAATTTGTGATACTTGCTGAGCAGCTTTAGGGTAGGATCTTGTTTTTTCCTTTTAGTATTAATTTTCTATAGTTAAAAAAGAAAAGACCTGTTCTGAAGATGTTTGCTGTGGGATTTGGTCTGGGGCAGTTGCCTTTATTCTCAGCTCAGAGCGTCGAGAATGTATTTATTCCTTGAAGAATTAAATAACAAGAACAGTAAATAGGGATGTTTTTTAATTATTTTTAGCAATTAACATTTTATTTTTTAATTATTCGAAGAAGTTGTTTTACTTTCCTTCTTAAAGAGAAGGCAGATGTTCTCAATTGGGACAAATGGTACTTGAGGTCTTCAGAGTCACAGTCTGTGTGTGCTCTGACTATTAAACATTAGGGCCCAAAATTTCTCACCTCTCTAGGTTTATTTTGAAAGCCACTAAAAAAATCATTGTATTTGAGGAGAGGAGTTGTATATGAAGCTTTGTCTTTTCTGCTGGAATGTTCAGCTTTTTGCCAGTCAAGGGAAAGATAGAGGTAATGTACTAAGTCAAATGTTGAATGCTTTCCTAAATGGGCATAGGCGTATATATAGGCAGATATGGGCATAGAGTCAGTGCTTTCTTCTAGGTCTCAGAGCTTCTGTCACACTGCTTTCACTCTAAGTGAAACTTAGAATCTGTATATCACTTCTTGTGGTTGCTGTAGTGTAGAAGAGTCCTTTCAAGATTTGGAGACAAACTCAGATGTTTACTTTGGGTTTGTATAGACTAAGCAGAATTCTCTCACTCAAGGTAGTTACCAAATCATTCAGTAGAGAAACTGCTGCATCACTATTGCCAACGAAATGAGAAGCAGCAGTTAGGAATATTACTTATTTTTACTAGAGGTCATTTAGGAAAGGCAGGGAAGTCATTAGCTGGTAATAATGTAAGCGTGTCCTCCTTCCTTGTGATAGTGACAAATCTAATTTAAAGAAATCTTTTGTTAAGCTAACATGCTGATCGGTGTGAACCTTTTCAGGTAATGAAACACTCAGTTACGATGTCCTTGATAGCTGTGTCTGAAAAGTGCATGATCTCTTATAGTAGATTCTGATGCTCTGTTTCAGGAGTAGCTTTGTAGTATTTATTTCAAGGCCTTAAGGACTTCTTAAACATTAGGTTTTAGTCTGTAGATTTTTGATTTTGAGAAACAAAGGTGACTCCTTGATGCAGGAACCATAACTTAATCTTTAGATAAACAAAGATGAAATTGCACAATATGATTTGTTTTCCTAGGACAAGGATGAGACTGAAACTGTTAATCCAGTCCAGGACTCAGAAATGTATGATGGTAATGGAGTTCCTCAAAGTATTAGATCTGATGCATCTGATCAAGAAGATGAGGAAAGTGAAAGCGGTCCAGTGGCAATAAGTAAGTTACTGTTGCAGCTCATTATTCAATGCTTTCACTGTAGTTTTGAACAACTAATTCTACAACATGATTTGTGTGAAGTAATGCTGTGTAACAGCTGCCCTCACAGATTTTCTAGTTTGTTCCAGTGAAAGTTTTCCAGTGCTCTATTTTCCAGTGCTCTATTTAGTAGCATCACGTCAAGTAGGTCTGTAGAAACGTGTTGGAATCAGATTCATTGTGTAAGTTACAAATCCTGTCTCAGCTAAACTTAGTTTTTCAACCTTCAACCTGAAGGATATGAAGGCTGCTGAAATTTTTTGCAGTTCTGCATTTAAATGATTTTTGAATATGCTTCTCCTTAAGCTTGCATATTTTTAATATTTTTTTTATCCTGTTTGTCATTTAACACCAACTACTCATGGCTTGGTTTCCCTTATATTTACATTCTTCACACCAACTTGTTTAATAACTTGGATATTTCACACCAACACAGTGGTGCTTGTTGATGATATAGCTTCTGTGGAGCATATGGACCTTTGAAAGTAAGTCATAGAATCATAGAATGGTTAGGATTGGAAGGGACCTCAAAGATCATCTAGTTCCAACCCCTCTGCCATGGGCAGGGACACCCTTCACTATACCAGGTTGCCCAAAGCCTCATCCAACCTGGCCTTGAACACTTCCAGAGATGGGGCATCCACAACTTCTCTGGGCAACCTGTTCCAGTACCTCACCACCCTCAATGTAAAAAATTTCTTTCTTATATTCCTTATGACTGATATAGTCATCACTGTATCTTAATTTCAAAGAATGTTTTGAAGTACAAGTTACAACTGATGGTCGCAGTAAATTCACAAAAGGGATTTGGATTTTGCAGCCTGACTTTTACTCTGTCAGGCTCTGTCAATATGTAAATTCAATATGAAGATGGTTTTACATTGATTTGCTTTCAGGTTTATCAAAAGCAGAAACCCAAGCTCTGACTAACTATGGCAGCGGAGAAGATGAGAATGAAGATGAAGAAATAGAATTTGAGGAAGGACCTGTTGATGTGCAGACATCACTACAAGCCAGCAGTGAAACAGCAACTGAAAATGAACAGGTATCACCAAAGTTGTAAATGCAGAACAAACAGCCAGTGTATAGATTTTCAGACAGATATCTGTATATAACACTTGAGTGTTTCTTGTTGCACTATTTCATACTGACAAAAGTAGAAAAATGATACAAGAAATTACATGAAAGCAATAGCTGTGACATACGAAGTATCTATTGTTCATTCCCCACCTGAATTTATTATTGATATGGCTGATGCCAAAATGGGCAGGTGGACACACAGAACTAATGTCTAAATCTGCTGTCAGAGAAAATATTAAGCTGCAGTAGAAAAGATAAACTTTGAAACAAGCATCAACTTTTAAATGGTTATCTGATTCTTTGTCTGTGTTTGCTGACATCAAGTTCTAACTGGACTTCCCTTGTATTCTAGCATGCCTTTGATTTGTCTTTCCTCTTCATCATGTATTACATTATTGTAGAACAACAGTGAAATGTTGTTGGCTCCTGTTGTTAGTTTCCTTAAAAACATTTGGATGTGTGTGACCTGGTTCTGGAGACTTACCAGTTCTTTACATTTCAGTAAATAACATTTGACTTTTGAGTCTTTTGAAACTTTGATTTACTCAACAGCTACTAACATTTGGGTGAGGATGTATCTGGAAAATTTTATTTTACTTCAAAGGGTAAAACAATAGATCTTTTCAGTGGAACTAAAGAGTTTACCTGGGAACTACTATAGTGAAAAGAAAATTAAATACGTGGGTAAAACACACATATCAGTGTTAGTAGTTTCTTAAAGTGTAGTTGATGAGTTGATGAATCAAGAGTAGAACTTGCTATCTTTGTTTCAAACTAGTTAAAAGACAAAAGCGTGGAGCAAGTGTACAGTGTGTCTCTAGTTAGCAAGGAAGAGTAAATTAGCCAATAACCTATGAAGTTAATTAGTAGAATTTGTTGTAACTTGTTTTCACCTTCCCCAATAGACTTCAAACCAAGAATTGAATAAGACAAAAAGCAGTGAGATTTTGTTATCAGAACAAGAATCTGTTGATGTTAAAGGTAAGCCCAGTACACAGTAACTGGGAGATTTACACTTCTGTTTGAATTTGCATATTGTGTGAATTGTCTTGGACAGTGCCTGGGATATCTGTAATTAAGAGGAAGAACATCAATTTTGCAAGAGCTTACTGGGCTGGTTTGTTTTTTCATGGAACCCTATCAGTTGACTGGATATATCTGTGCTGTTACAGACACAGCAAACTTCTTAAGGAGGAAACTTGGAATAATCTTGTGTAGATGAGGTTTCGATGCTTGGCAGTAGCGTAAACTTCAGTTGATTGTTGCAGCCTTTGGCACACAACTGTAGCAGAGTTAATTTCTCTGTTAGAATATTTTGATGTTTAGGTTTGTCTAACACTTGCTTTTTCCGCTACTACCATTTACTAGCACTTGAAATCACTTTATATTTTAAAGATTTATTTCTGTGAGTAATGCTGTGTTGTAACTGATAAAGAAACAAGAAATCATTTTCTGTCAAAAGACAGAACCACTACTGGGTGGTATGAGTGTTACTTATAATCTAATTATTGTTATCTCCTTCTTTTCTTGTGTTTTTCTGTTGCAAATAGTGGTTTTGTTCTTAGTCTTTTTTTCATAGACTAAAAGCAGTATTCAAGTAGATCCTGTGTTGCCACAAGAATGTGGCAAAATGTTAAGGAATTTATTGTTCTGTATTATGTCTCCTTATACTTAAAATGAATATTTTTACAGTACGTCATATATTTCTGGAAGTTGGGTTTTCGTTGGTTTATTGTTTTGGGGCTTTTTTTTAAAGCGGTATGAAGTCAGAGACTTTGAATAATAATTTGTAAAAAAAAAATAAATCTGAGATTTTTTTGTGTGCTCTGAATCTTTTACTGTCTCTACCTAGTTCAAATGTAGTTTTGTGGTTTTAGGTGAACAAGATGTGGCTACAATTTTGCCTCATTACCTCAATGTCATGGAGAATACACCACCTTTAACAGTCAATGCCCAAGAATCCTTTGTAACAGCCAGTATGAAAACAGGAGAATCAAGCTCACCTTTACCAGTAAATGACACTCAGACACTAGATACAACGTGTGTAGGAAACAAATCGTCTGCTGCAAGTTCTGAAAGCTCCATGGCCGGCAGCCCTGACACGGAGTCACCTGTGCTAGTGAATGAATATGTGCGTATATGTCCGTTAAGATACGTCCAAGAGAAAATAGAAGCTTTTTTTTAGTTCAGTGTTATTTCTAGTTTCCAGTCTTGTTCAGTTTTCATCTTCAAATGTGATACGGCCATTGTTTTCTGATATACTTCACTATAATATTTGAAAATTTAGTTGTGGAGTGAAAATAGAACAAAGCAGTGCTATTCCCTTAAATGTCGCTATTTCTATTAACAGGAAGCTGGTTCTGGAAATGTAAGTCAAAAATCTGATGAAGATGACTTTGTGAAAGTTGAAGACCTGCCCCTTAAACTTGCAGTGTATTCAGAGGTATTTTGCTATTGTTTGTGGGGTGGTTGTTTAGAAGTGCACACCCTAAATGTCTTAATTATCTAAACAGCAATAAGAATTTTGATTTTTGCTTTATCTGTTACAAAGGCAGATTTAATGAATAAAATGGCAACGGAGGCCCAAACCAACAGTTTGTCTGATGAATTACTGGATGGAGGTGGAGCTCAAGATCAAGAATTAGTAGGAGATGCCCAAACTCTGAAAGAACCTGGTAAAGATTGTTTTCTAAATCCTCTACAGCTGTTGGGAAAACACTCTGGAATGGCCTAGAATTTAAGTATCTTGTTATCACTGATTGAAGTAAGTTATCATGGTGCTGAAAGAAAATCCTTTTTTGTTATCATGCATTTGGAAATGATGTATTGATATGAAAAGATTTTGCCTTCCATGTCCCTGCTAATAAGTAATAAAAAATAACATATTTAAAATGCATGTATAACTTAATGGTTTTGAAACTTAATAAAATGGAATAGTATTTTTCTTTCTTCTTACACAAGCTTGGGTTTAATAATATTGTAAATTCTAATTCCTATTATCTGTTTTAATAATCATAGAATCATAGGACGGTTGGTGTTGGAAGGGACATTAAAGATCATCTAGTTCCAAACCCCTTTCACTAGATCAGGTTGCTCAACGCCTCATCCAGCCTGGCCTTGAACACTTCCAGGGATGGGGCATCAACAGCTTCTCTGGGCAACCTGTTCCAGTGCCTCACCGCCCACAGAGGAAAGAAATTCTTCCTTAGATCTTAGGGAAATTTACTCTCTTTCAGTTTAAATCCATTGCCCCTTGTCTTATCACTACATGCCCTTGTAAAAAGTCCCTCTCCAGCTTTCCTGTAGGCCCCCTTCAGGTACTGGAAGGCTGTTAGAAGGTCTCCCTGGAGTCGTCTTCAGGCTGAACAACCTCAACTCTCTCAGCCTGTCTTCATAGGATCATCTTTGTGTCCCTCCTCTGGACCTGCTCCAACAGGTCGTGTCATTATGTTGAGGACCCCAGAGCTGAACACAGTGTTCCAGGTGGGGTCTCACGAGAGCAGAGGGGCAGAATGACTTCCCTCGACCTGCTGGCTGCTTTGGATGCAGCCCAGGATACGGGTGGCTTTCTGGGCTGCAAGCGCACGTTGCTGGCTCATGTTGAGCTTCTCATCAACCAATGCCCTCAAGTCCTCAGAGCTGCTCTGAATCCGTTCTCTGCCCAGCCTGTATTTGTGCTTGGCATTGCCCCGACCCATGTGCAAGACCTTGCACTTGGCCTTGCTCAATAATGCTCAATATAATTTGCTGACAGACTGCTCAGTGTTTTTGTAATAGGTAAGTTGAACAGACTTTTCAGAAGAGTTAACTATCTCTCCAGGGAAAAGAGAATTATTTTTTATATGAAGCGTACTGTGAGGTAGAAGAAACTTTTAGAGTGTATGACAGCAATAAAGATTTGTCACTTTCATGAAACAGTATTTATGCAGCTACAAAAACTTAATGGTAAGGCTGGTCAAAGAAACCTTTCTTGGGTTTAATATAATGCTGCTACTGTGACACAAGTTACAGTATTCTGTTCTGACACAATTACGGTATTCTACGGTAACAGGCTTCTGTTCTATTGTTAAGCTCGTAGTTCTCTAGCGGAGGGTGTAATAATGGCATATCTAAATGCATGAACTCGATATTCTGGTGGTGGTAGTTTTTTGCTAGTGTAGCTAGTTCTGATTCCTCAAACAGTATAAGCTAATGAAAATGCCTTTTTTTAATGCAGTTGAAGTGACAGCATAGGATTTTCCAGAGTAGAGTGTGAAGGAAGGTGCATCTTTCGTTTCGTTTCTGTCACTGCCCATCACTGTTCCACTTGTAGCTATGCCAGCAGGAGTCTGTCATGACAGTTTGGTGAATACTGATGCACATGCCCAGTGTGGGAACAGTGGCTCAATGCCATGCCACACAAAATTGGTAGCTAGCAACTAAGCCATTCTTCATCTGCGTATGGGGGATGGCTGCAGCTGTTCGAGTAAGCCGTGGCTTAAAATGCTTGTGAAAAAAAGGTGAGGATGAGATATTTCATCAAGGTGCTTCAATGGAAACTTAGAAGCAGTTAAAATGTGGGCAAGAGCTGTGTTTGATGCATTGTAGCTGTTGGACAATAACGAGCATACTCTTATTTTACAGAAACTTTTGGAGATCAAAGTGCATGAGAATAACCTGAAGATATCTGCATTTATAAACTCCATGTATACAGATGCATACGGAAGATCAGCACTGATTTCTCAGAATTCTGGAAGTGTATAAAAATGTAAAATTTTTGACACGCTCCCTCTTAGGATAGGTATGTTAACTTCTGCCTGTGGCAGTTTGAACAGCTGGAACTGAATCCTCTTCTATTCAGTTTTGCTGCATTGTTCTTTTTCTGGCTTAATCTTTTTTATTTTTTATTGTGACTTGTTTAGTAATTTTAAAATTGTTCAAAATGGTAGTTTTAAATAAAGTTTGGACTTGTCTGTAAATCTGTCTTTCAAAAAACTTTCCTCTGGCTTACAAAATGGAATGCAGTTTGTCATTGGAAGTTAACTGACTAAGTGTTGCCATGCTTATAGCAGTTTCTTACTCCTTTTTAGTGGAACACTGCTAGTTTTCCTGGCTAGTTTTCTCTTGTCTCACTAAGTTTCTCCATCCTCTACAAATATGAGGTGTGGACACTGTACATACCTACATGTTGCCTTTATAGCCTAGAGTATAGCTGGTCTGTGGAAAAAAAAAAAAGTTCATGTTCATGGCCTGTGGAATTCACTTCTGTTAGCACATTGATCTGAGGTTTTGTAGTTAATTGCAGAAACCATCTGTATTTTTCTGCGTTTCCTGTTTTGCACTTCCAATACGCAAAGGGATAAACCTGTCTGAAAGTTTTAGTATCTTTTCACATGTAACACTTAACATTGCTGCAGTTGAAAGCCTGTAGAATTTGTGCCTGAAGTATTTGACTTTGTAAAGGGTTTTCATGTAGAAAGGAAGAAATTTAGGAAATTACAATTAAAGTTCATGTTAAAAAAAAAAAGTTTAAGTCAGCACCTGATGGCAAAGGCAGAATTAGGATTGTAGAAAAGTAGATTGGATAACTTGAACTCAAACAAAAATTTCTTCACTTTTTCAGATCAGAGTTGCTAATAACAGTCGTAAAATTGAGCCAGATACAGCTTATTCAGTGTATCTGTTGCATTATAGATGTCCTGCTTAAACAAATACAAGGCTTTTTTCTCACTCAGAGTAGTTAAAAAGCAATGGCCAATCTTTAATTCAGGATTGTCTTCCTTTTGAGGTTAGTTATAATAATATGGCTGTATGCTCTAGGAGACAGTCTAGTGATAGTGAAACCTAAATATTCCTGAAGTTTGAATAAAATGAGTGTGATCATTCCATGATTTCTTTTTTCAGTTTGTTTGGTTTGGGCGCCTCCAGGTCTTATGAGTGAATTTTCAAATGGCATATTACAATCACATGCCTCATCTCCAAAGACAAAAGTACATTAAAAGGTTTGAAGACAGCTTAGTTACAGTGCAGGCTTTAAACTCATGGTGATACTGTATGCAGGAAAAACTTTACAATTTTGAGGATAGAGGAAATACATTGTGGCAAAGGCAAACCTGTGAAAACAAAACAAAATTCAAGTGTTTAATCACTACCTTGGCACAAGAATCAGTCAGTAGACCTAAAAGAGGATATTTTCATAAAGTAGAACAAGATGATTTGTGCTTTCTAATTCATATAGTAAATCATTCTAAGCTGAAGAAATAGCATGAGCATGCACCATGCCTTGATTCTTGCCCTGGAATGCTGTGTATGAACAAGGCACTGAAAGGGTATTGTATTTGGTCATACTTTCTCTACTGTTTCTTTAGAATCACAGAATGGTTGAGGTTGGCAGGGAGCTCTGGAGGTCATCATATCCAATTCCCCTGCTCAAGCAGAGCCACTCAGAGCTGGTTGTCCAAGACCATGTCCTGGTAGCTTTTGAATATCTCCAAGGTGGGAGACTCTGCAACCTCTCTGGGGAACCTGTGCCAGTGCTCAGTCCCCCTCACAGTGAAAAAGTGTTTCCTAACATTTGGAGGGAACCTCCTGTGATTGGGTTTGAGCAATGGATAATGAATGTAGATTACAAGCACGCAAACAGGAGAATTGCTGAAGAAGTTAAGCTCTTGCTTGTATTCTGATGCCAGTCCTTTTACCTCATATGTAGTTCAGTTTGAGTAGAATGTGTTTTTCAATGGTAGTAGAGAAGCTATTGCTTGAAAAGATTGCTTCTCACATCTCATTCACACACTCTGCTGTAGAGTGTTTGATACATTGCTTGCTTGACCAAAGTGAATGTATTTTACTGTCCAGTATCCATTGCACAGTTTGTCACTTCAGAGACAGTTGTGGAACACAAGTACAAAGAATTCAGACAATTATTTTTAAGATGAAAGTTAAGAGGGCAGAGCTGGTTCTCTTCTGTAGCTAGCACAATTTAGTGATGCCTCTTCCCTGAGAGAGAAGTTGCTGTGTAACACCTGTCTGTTACTATTGTGTAGTGAATGACCTAACAAAATAGAACACACAGGTATGGAGTGAAACCAAATCATGTTGGACTTCGACTCATTTTCACTACTGGAAGTATCTGCTACTTCTGGAAAGAAGGTAAAATAATTGATTTCTTACTATAGATTGCAACATTGCTTTTGAACCTTTATTTTAGTCAGATTCCATTGTATCCTGAAATTATTTATGCTCCAAAGCTAATTACAGCATTTACAAAGTCTAAGCATTAGGAGAACAGAAAACCCATAGTAACTTGAGATTGCTTTTGCTGCAGTGCTAGTATTTTGAACCGTAGTTACCTACCACAGGATTACTGTCATGCATAACAGCAAGTAGTTCAAACAAAACTTAACCCTTCACTGGTGAACTTTGAAGAACATAAATTAAACTATTAACTGTCTTATTTCAAAAGAAACTCACCCATTCTGTACAAGTCTGCATCTTCATACAGTAGTATTTATTCAAAGACAGAATGGAACATTTCTTGTCCTACTTTTATATAAGCTTCTCTCTCTTCATTTGTCATGAGAGACACAAGCTCTGGATTCTCACTGACTTCGCCATATGAATGAGGCTGACCAGCTACCATTAGAATAGGACCTTGTGTTTCCTGTTCCTCTTCTTGTTCAAAGTTGCTGCCAGCTCTTCCTGAGTGCTTGGTATCTTCTTCAGACTCACTAGTATCAATGCTTGCTTCAGGTAGTTTGCTTACAACAACAGGAGCCTGGTCTGTGCTAGATGATGACTTGGATTCGTGGATCAGAAGGGTCTTGATGATTTCATTATCAGTGACAGTTTCTTTAACTCCTTTGTCTTTTTCTTCAGAAGCATTTGCTCCTAATATGCAATACTAAGTGTTAGAGGTATTGATAGTTTACAGTTACCATAGACACCCTACATAAATGATTTTTTTTCTACTCTGGATCTTTTTTACCCACACTTTAGCATTCTCTTGACAGTGCAGACATTTCCAAGAGCTTTCCACTTTAAAAGTTACCACTAATGTTACTGCACAGTTCGAGCCAAAAATTTCAGGACCTGGTACCAGACCTCTGGATTCAGGAATACTACCCAAATCAGTCAAAAGACTAGTTTTTAGAAACTTAAGATCTGATAGCTACTAGTGCAGAATTGAAGCATTACTCTTTATGTTAAGCCAAGCTCACTACATTTTCAATAGGAAAGCTGTATTTAAGTGCAGTAAGACTGCTGAATTTTAGTGTTTGCAAATGCTTAAAACTTACCATCGCTATTGTTAGTGTCTGTTGTTGCTCCTCTGACAGTGCTCTGTGACATCCAGATCGGTTGCTCTTTAGCTGCTTTTTCTCTTATTTTCTTCTTGGGTTCAGAGTCTTGGACATCAATAATTAAGTTTTGGGTGTACATATTGCCAAAAGAGGAACTTTTGTTGGCCCATTTTTCAGGTCGGCTGCAGGATTCCAGCACACTTGAACCCACCTTCTGATCAAAGCTGAATGAAATGTCACCCATTTTGGACAGGTTAAATTCAGGCAGGAATCCCCCAATTCACATTCAAAAAAAGACAAAAAAGCATATTTTGTCAGCAGACTAGCTTTAACAAGTGCTCTATATTAAATCCATTTGCGTTCCCCATTACCTCATCTCAGAGGCAAGTGATTCTGAATCATTGATTTTTGCACAGTTTCTTCAGTAGTGCATCTCTGGATGAAGCACACTGATAGAAAAACATTGCTTTCTCACAGAAAGGGCTGTGAACATTAGCTGAAGAAGAAGTCTGGAAAATTAATTACTTCTTCAAAGAAAAAGCAAAAAAACCCTATAAATGCCTAACAATAATTTAGAATGCCTTAGAAAGTACAGGCTTCTTCATTGAGCAGCTGACAGTACTAAAAGCAGAATGGAGTGGGAAGTAGGCTGCAAGTTCAGTATTTCAAAGATTTTACAACTGGAAAGTTGAGGGGTTTTGTATTGATCAGAAATTCTGGGGTTACATTTGTACCTTTCTGATAATTCTGGTATTTCTGTTGGCTGAGGCTCCAGCAAGTCATACGGCAGCACAATATCTTCAGTCTCACGCAGTAGCGCAAAGATAGGTTCAATCTGCTCATTGAATTTTGCTAGCAAGGTTCGAGCATCACGTTTAGGAAGTGCTGAGGCATCTTCCTCTACTTCAGTGTTGCAGTAAGTGCAGCGGAAAGTCTCTGCAACATTATCCAAATGGGAAATTCTCATGTTTGTAGGATGCAGAAGATCAGCAGTACCTTGTTAAGAAATCCACAGCCTGGACAATTACCAAAATATTCTGACTTCATTAGACTTCATTCATTTAGTCTTATTAACTAGGGGAACTCAAGTTATAAAGGCAAGCCGGTTAACTTTGATTTTTTTTTTTGAAGAGGAGGACTGATACTCACACACTTGCTCTGCAAGAGAGAAATGTCTGTATTGGGAAAAATAAGTTGGCTAGACAGAGTATCATCAGATAGTAGGGTTTACTTTTCTCTGATCTCATCTTTTTCTTAGTTCATAACGTAAGAAAATAAGACATTTGCAAGCATAAATAGCATCTGGTTTCAGTTGTTCAGAGTTGTAAAGTTCAGAAAGACTCATTTAGAATCAAAGCATATGCTAAAAACCTATATTTCTGTCTTAAGGAAAGAAAAGATAATCAAAGCCTATTCTGTTGAAATATCTCATCAGCCTCAGTGTTTGCATTTCAGTACCTTGGAACAAAGAGTTGTTTTTTGCTAACTGGCAGTACACTAACTTCACCTTTGATGTTTCAAGTTAGTCCTATAAGATTCATTCCCCCTGGCTCTGGTGTCCCTTTCAGGTACTGCGACCCAGACGTTAACACAGCAGCTGCGTTTAGAGCAGCATATTGTGATATGGTGCCATTTTAACTCATTTTGAAAGAGTACTCTCTGTGTAGTTATCTTCATTTTAGAGAAGAGAAACCCGCAAGCTCTGATGCCACTTCTTCTATGGCTGTGTCACGTTACCTTGGGAGGAGCCCGAGCTTCCGTGTTTCCAGCACAAGAGTGACAAGAGTGCCTCTCCTCTGCTGCGGAGCTGCAATGCACTTATTACAGTAGGTGGCTGCAAACAGCTTTATCCATCTTGTCCATCTCTTCCATTGGAAGAATTGAACACACAAATGGATTAACTAACAAATTCAACCAGAGTAAAATAAGTCCTGTATTCTTATTTCCATATGAGGAAGGGGGACTCGCAAGACTCGCATGAGTTATCTTAACCCAGGTTAAGATGTCTTGTTCCTAGCAAAGCTGAGACCTGAAATCAGATTCCCAGCCTCAGTTCATATATTCAAGATTATTCTTCGGAGACAGCTTTTTCTCTTATGGTCACCTCTCAGCTTCTCCTGTCCTAGGCAAACAAGCAGCATATCCTAACAAGCATGCTTTTATTGCAAAGTTCACACAGGAGCCAGTTTTGTGCTATCAGAGTTATTCTTTAAGGTAAGAGCAAATAAACAGCATAAGTGACATACCTGTGAATATGTCAAAGAGCTGATTGACTTCTAGGTCCGTGTAAGTGCTGGAGCAAGATGGACATTTGAAGGAAGACCTGGTAGTTGAATCCCGCTCATCTGCTTCTATTTTCCGGCGTACATGATCCAGTTTGTATTTTACCACATCCACCAGCACCTTGTAATTGATGTAATAGTAATTGTGCCGGGTGCTCTTCCCGTTAGGCCCCGTTTCAACCCGCATACGCAGCTTCACGAGCTTGTATGCCTTGAGCGTGTTGAGGACAGTACGCAGTTGTTTACGCTCGTACTTGAGCAACTGCAACAAGTCATCCTCTTTCACACAGGGGTAGCGGATCAGTACATCGAGGGCCAGGGAGTACTCTACTCCGTAGAAACCACGCACTATATATTTGGCCAGGCGCTTCAGGGCTGCCGGCACCTCTGTGGTAACGTTTTGCTCTTCCATCAGGAGCTAAACCGCTGTCAGAAAGAGAAGCGCTGTACAACAAGCAGAAGGGAGGTGAGCTGTAGCCAACCTTTCCTAGCGCTCACAGGCAGGTGCAAAGCAGGGCGTCTGCTGCGCTGAACCTCTGCAAGCGTCTTCACTGACTAGATTAATGTAAAATCCTTAACTTGCACGTGGGGATGGGGGAGGTATCGATAGATATCAAAGATTACCTAATTTCCAAGTACAATGAGTACACCTGAAATACTCACATCCTCTTGTGTAAAAAGCCACAGCAGATATCTAGGAAAAAGGTCACAATAAGTCCACAACAATCCTCTTTACAGAAGACAGCACAGTTAGCTTACGTCTCTAGGTCTGCCTGAAGCATCTGTTTTCATTTGCAGCCAGCCAAGTAAGATCGAAGTCAATGCTATACACCTTTGAAAGTAAGGCTCAGGACACAAGCTGGGCAAGAAACCTTTACCTTAATTCCTAACAGTATGGAAAATAGATGAGACTGTATCTCCCTTTGCCTGAAAGCCGCAAGAGTTGTCTGAGCACCTTTTAGTATGCTCTTTGTGATTTTTCTGCTGGCTGCTGTGGTGAATGAAACCAAGGCCCCGCAAAGCAGGGGCACAGGATGCTCCATCTTGTCTGACAACTGTCCTCACTCAGCACAGGGTGTTTGAGGCTGTGTCTGCTTGTTCCACCACACTAAATCACCAGGGAGCATTTGTAGCAGAACATTTTCCTCTTTAGTACTCTTCTCCCCTGTAGAAATAGGGCTTCTGGCAATAAGAAATTCCTGATCCCATTAACTAGAACGTAACTAATTTTAACCAGTCCAACTGCCCTAAGTGTTTCTTATTTGTAAGGAGTGGAGGGAGAAGAAAAAGAAAAAAGAGCTATGTTTCAATAAAGCCACATTCAGATCCCTTTCTTTGAGCCATGTTAAAATCCTACGGTAACACTTGACACCGCAGCCTTTAGCCAGGTGGCTCTGCAGAGAACCACGCAAGGTGCAGCCAAATAGCGCTGGTGTAGCCACTGGGTCAGAAGGTGGGCAGGTGGTAGGATGGCATGTTACAGCGTGGTGCATTGGCAGCACTAGCACTGGCATCTACAGCTGAGGGGCACCTTGCTCAAGCCCAGGTAATTGCATATTGCTACACAGGACATCCAGGTGACCTTCACCAGATCTCCTCATTAAACAAACCCCATTTGCAGTAGCCTCCTAGTTGAACCACAGTTAAATTTGCATCTCACAGGGGGAGCACTACCTTTTGATTAACCCATACCAAGTGTAAACCTGCTGGTCAGAGGCTCAAAACCCCAAAGGCAAAAATAGCACCACATTGACGTCAATTTCCCACAGGAAGAGTGGGGGAACACTGGAATAGGCTGCCCAGGGAAGAGGTTGAGTCTCTGTACTTCAACTGGACAAGAGCCCAAGCAGCCTGACCTTGCTTTGAGATTAGTTGTGCCATGAGCAGGGGTTGGACCAGATGGCCTCCAGAGGTCCTGTCCAACTTAGACTCTTCTGTTCCAAGGGAGTAAAATTTAACCACAGTAAGGAGAAAAGCTTTGGGAGTGTCAGTTCCTTGACAGTCTTCCTCAGACTGCAAGAAGAGAATTTCTATGATTTTTCACAAGAGCCTTGAGGAAGAAGCAATTCTTTTTTACTATTATTATTATAGTTTTAATCTTTCATTTCTCATTTGCCCTCATCCTCAAAAGAGGCTTACCTGCCACATTAGCAGGGCAGCGTAGCTCATGGCACAACTAGACAGACAATATTCCCTTCCCCAGACAGGAAAGCACAGGACCTTGAGCTTGTGTTCAACCAGGTCCCTCAGAAGCTACATCCTGTTCTTGCTGCCAGTCAAGCTTCTAGAAAGGGTATGACACACCGTCTACGCACATGCGTGCCAATGCGTCTGTGGTAGAACAGAGATGTACTCTACTCAAGAGTCAGGAACTCCATCTGCTGAAGTGAGAAGTTTAATAAAATCTTGACTGAAATCCCATCTCCACCTCTTTCCTTGATGGATGAGCTACCTCAAGTTGCCAGTGCATTTTCTGCCAGATAAAACCATATGCAAGACCTATTGGATAACAAGTTAGCGAGCACGGTGGCTATCCTTGAGCCACACAACCATGTTCATGCCCCAGCTGTGCTCAGCAGCCAGTTTTCCCGTCCCCATCCGCAGCAAGGGCTCTTCGCTCTTAGAACTGAGTAGGTTTTCCTTTGAAGTCCGGATAAGGGTATGCAGGGGAGACAATCTATATATTGAGAATAGCCAAGAAGCTGCAGACAGCAGAGAAGCTACCAGTTGCAGGACAGCTTAGATTTACTGTTCTGGACCCAGGGCTGTGGGCTGGATTCCCACATCTACCCTCCAGTGTATTAACCCCAGGGGCACTTGAGCATAAAACACAACATTCCTGGAGCTCAGACAAACATCAGACTGCTTCCATAGAAAAATATGCTAACTTACACTAAAGACTTCTCTCTTCTTCTGGCCTCTCAGATTTGGGA